AAATTAGGCTTAGTTGGTAACCTATGTTCCACCAAGTCTCTATCTAAACCAGGCATTTGTTCATATTCCCAAGCAAAACAATCTTTGTACTCTTTTAGTAAAGTGATTAATTTGTTACTAACCTCTGGATCGAGCATTTGGCTGATGAATGTTGGGCGATCTTCTCCTTCATTGCCAATATTTACTTTGATCAGAGGGTCTTGTGCTTGAGCGTATCCAGGTTTGGCGATCCGCATCACTTCGGCGTCCAGTTTCCTTGTAAGTACTTCTTCTTCCAAACAGTCCACCTTGTTGACTTCTCGGCCAATGCTTTGCTCTAACTCAAATACTGCCAACTTGTCTTTCAGCGCTTTTAGGGCTGTCTCTTCTTTTGCCTTGTCATTGCATTCCTTATTGAAAGCCATTAGTCTGGCTTTAAAGGCCTGAATGTCGGCCATTTGCTTTTGTAACTTAGAATCCATTCAAGACTCCTTGATTATTCTTTTGCCAATTACTGGCTCTTCCAGGGCCACTATATTTGGCCTCATCTGTTTGAACATTTCAGTGAGTGCGTCCACTGAGAACAGTTCTTCGCTTTGCGCGACAACCTGAGTTTCTTCCCCGTCTTGTACTACCCTGACAGGTCCATAGTTTCCTTCGTACATGAACTTTTCCACCGAGTTTGCTTCTGCGACAAAAGGCCTATGATCGGCCTGTACCACCTCTGCTTCGCCTTTGTTATTCCAAAAGATCAGGCATTGATGGAGCGATGAGGGTATACAGCGACTTCCGTGTATCCAATCTCTTCCTAGTAGCACATTGTAACTAGTAGGACCATCTATTACAAAGAAGACAGTGGTCCTAGTAGTTGTCCCTATAGTTATGTCCAATGGCATAACTCCCTTAGCTAAAGTTGCTCCTCCATTGAAGCTAGTGAGGATGACTTCTATAGGAATCATGTCACCCTCTGTCTTTGCAAACTTCCTCATCATCCTAGATGGAATGGTGTTTATAGCTGCTCCATTGTCGACAAGCACTTTTGCCACTGGGATGCCGTTAACTAGAGCTTTAACGTACAACGGCCTCAAGTGTTTAGTCAATTTCATGGCTGGCCGTTTAAAAATAACCTTTTCGACAGCCTCTATTTCGACTTCCTGCTTGTTTTCTGTCAAATTATCACGCTGTGATAAGTCGACGTGCAGTATGTCATGCTGATCCTCTGTCTTCTGAACTTCCTTCTTACATTTTTCTAATACTTCCTCATCAGTTATCCAACCTGTGGGAGGGGGCATTATTCTTGGAGGTGACCCATACTTTTCAGAGCAAGGCACTCTCTTCTTCCTTTTGGGTGTCCTATACAGTACGTAGAAATCGAAAGGACGCCCAGATGGTTCTCCCAACAAATCTACTTCGCGAACTCCCTCTCGATGTAGTTGCTTCAACAGAGTATTGCGCTATGCTCCTCTCTTTCTTCTTTCTGCTTCTAGGTCGATTTCTTGTTTAATGTCTATCATCCCATCGTCTTCTTCATCGTTGTAGGCCTCTCTAGAAGTCTGGCCTACTTCACATACCAGCACGCAAGCTTCTCCTTCATTGTCCTCCCTCTCTTCTTCTTTTTCTTTATTCTTGAATTCATTGGCCAGTAAGTAATTATTGGCCACAACAGGAGGTAACGTACCAAACTGGATGGTAAGGGGCTGATCTTGATCTTCTCCATCCCTTCTGTCTCGCTCAAACTTTGATCTCCCAGAAGAAGTTTCTGGCAATTCCTTCATTGATTCATCTGTACCGATCTCTTCACTGTTTTTGAGGACATTTTGATTGGCTACCTTGAGTAGTTTAGGCGTTTTAGGATGTGGCACTCCCTGTTGCTACCTCATCATCCGTCCGTAGTTTCGTTGGAAACACCTTTGTTGGGTCCTAGTCATCTCATCGAAGGGTATTGCCCTTCTTGCATTGTACTGGAATGAATGTCATGCATTTGGCCGACGAGGTTGCGGCCTGAATGTTCTTCCATTATCTGTTGGCCTGAACTGCCTCTCAAAAGGCGGTCCTCTATAGAATGATGTACCTCGCCCTCTACCAGGCTGAGTGTTTGGGAGGAAGGTAGGGCGATGAGGATGCTGCCATGTCCCGGTTTGTCCGTATTTCCATTCACTTCTCTTTTACACCTTGCACATAGGACGTCTTCATCCTTTTTTGGTTCTTTCTCCTTGATTCGTTCAAAGACGCTGGGATGTGTTCTAGGATCCTCTTCTCCATCATCTACGACCAACTTGAATTTTGGTAACTTGTTTTTGAATCCAGATTCACCATGTTTACTCCAAGTGGCTGTGGGAAAGGATTTTCGTCCACTGCCATCTTCTTCTTATCATCGAACGTAATTCGTCCTGATTCAATAGCATCCTGCAATACATGGTGGAAAACCAAGCAATTATTAGTCAAATGTGACCATGTATTATGCCACTTACAATATTTTTTACCCTTAATTTGTTCAGGGTTTGGCAATTTGTGCTTATCGCTCAACTTTATCTGCTTATCCCTATATAATTTATCAAATATAAGGTCAGCTTTGGTTACGTCGAACGAGAACGTTCTAGCCTTTATATTTCCATCTTTTATGGGCTCATCTTTGTCCGATGGTCTAAGCTTGGCCATTATGGGACAAGTATATGTATCTCCTTTGACCAATTCGGCCAAACACATTTCGGCCTAGTCGTATGACTCGTCACTGATGGTATGAACATCAAAATTTGGGTCTTTGTAATAAGTCCCTTTACTAGAATTTTTCATCTGTTCTTCCTCTCTTATCAGTCGTTCATACCTAATCACATTCGCACTCAACTGAAAAAGGTCAGGAAATTCCTTGTCTTGGAATTTCTTCTTTAAATCAAAGCTCAAGCAGCCCTGAGCGATTTTGACAAATTCTTTTTCGGGCAGAGGTACAAAACACTTGCTTCTTGCTGTCTTGAACCTTTGGAGAAAACTTTCTGCCCATTCGTTTGGCATTTGACGTAGATTCGCCAAATCAGCCAAAGTGACTTCAAACTCAGTTTTATAAAACTGAGCATGAAACAACTGTTCCAATTATTGCCATGTTTGAACAGAGTTCGCTAGCAAGTTGATGAACCGGGAGAAAGCTACTCTGTTAATGAACTAGGGAAAAGCCTCATTTTATGGTAATCGGTTACATCACCACTTTGCAATGTGAATCGCCCTATGTGTTCTAGAGTAGACACCTCTCCTAAATCGGTAAACAGTGAGAATTATAGCACTTTGTACCCTCTAGGCCATGGATATGCTTGGTCTACCCAATCAGGATATGGCTTTGTGTACATCGGCCTAACGACGGGACGCACCCCAAAAGCCATCTGATCCTGTACAATTTCCATAATCTGATTCCTCAACATGACGTTGGGGTCATATGGAATTCCTACAGGTTGGTTAACCGGTTGATTTGCATGAGGTCTGATGTTTGGTCCTTGATTGGCAACCAAATTACCATGATTAGGGCCATTACCATTAGCCTGAACATCTATTTCCTCATTAACACGTGGAATATTCTATCCATTGTTTAGGACATTATCTCTTATGTTTGGATTACCCCCCAAGTTAGGCATACCACTACCATTCTTCTGATTTGGCACTATAGTACCCCCTTGGTTTGAAGTAGAGGGACCAGAAAGCGGTTCTACCCCTTGATTCAGATTTAGGACCGAGGGATTACGTCCCACAATTGTCCTAGTTTGAAAGTGATTTGTAAGAGGTATAACCGATTGACATATTTGGCCTACTAACTTATTCATTGTTTCGTTCAAAGTGTTTAGTTGTTTGGCCATGTTGTCATAGTGTACATTCCCATTTTGGGTAAATCTTTCCATATTATGAATACTTTGAAGATTTACCTGTTCAACGACGTCTTGTGTGAGTTCTCCAAGTAATGCATGCATGGTTTGAGGACTCAACTCCGTCATTGGTTCGTAACGACTGCTACTGCTCTGATTCTATCCATCTGTTCGTGGAGAGGCATGCTGCTCCTCATATCGCTCGATCACAGACTGAATTCCTCCCTGACTTGCTGCTTCCTTATCGGATCTCTGAGGCATATTGTTTCACCTTTTGTACTTTCAACACCTAACACCACTGTCCCACTGGGCGTGCCAAATTGTTTCGCGCGGGTTAGTCGCTAACAATTAAAAGGGATCAGACGATTGTGTAAGGGATAAACCTCTCGAGACAAAGTCCCAAAAAGGGGTGTTCTTTTATTGGCGATGACTTTACAATTGGAAATTAAAAACAACGTGCCTCCAAGGGGCGCAAGCACACGAGTTACTGAAAGAAAAGTGTTTAAGTCTAAGCTAAGGAAATTAAAATTACATATTCTCTGTTCGAGAGTTTTTGATTCGGTCTTTTGCTCTATGTCTTTTCTCCCTTTTATACTTCATGGACGATCTTTTTGTGATCAACCGCTCTAAAAACTGCTTGATCGTCCTATAACTGCCCACTTTTTTCGTAATGGCCAACTTGTCATGAAAACTGCCTTTTTTAACTGCTGCCATTACTCTTCGTCGTTCAACCGCTTTGGATTGAATTCCTTGAATCGTGAAACGTGATAGGGCTGCTTTAATAACTGCTTTGATAACTGCACTTTTTGATAACCACGACGCTTCATATTTGTTAAGACCTTGGGCGACTAGAAAGTTTGGGCGAGAATAGAGTAACAGCTCTGAGCGACTGTATGCACTCCATTCGCTTAGATTCTGGGCGACTTGCAAGTTTGGGCGATGGCGTTACCGCATTTTTGGGCCTCCCTATTTGGGCCTTCATCTTGATTTGTTTGATTGGGTTTCGTTCTTTGGGTTATCTGATTTGGGGATCCTCCAATTGGGCTTCACTCCTTGGGCCATTCGATTTGGGTTGAATTTTTATGTGTCAACAGCAGTAGATAATGTTTGTGTTTAAAATAGAAAGGTATGGAATGTCAAAGTACAGTGTGATGAAAATTAGCACTTCTCACCCACCCTAGGTGGCTTCCAAGGGTAATCCTGTGGAAAAAGGATGGTAAGTAGGAAAACTCCTCCAGCATATGGACTGTCAAGAGGACCAAAGATAGTAGCTTGCCAATGGTACAAGTCCCGGGCTACATGACCTGAAATTTACGTGCAGTGGAAAAGCAAATAAGCAACACAAAAAATAAATGAAACTTATGGTGCATGTTTAAATAGATTTTCGTGTTTAAATATACAAGTGATTCCCAAAAGGTAAAACTAAAAAGTATACAAGTGAACATGTTTAAATAGATTTTCATAAAATGACTAAGGCATATCCATTTAAATACTCAACTGCAAGGATAATCCAAGTTAATGATTATTTTTGTACTTTGGTGACAGTTTTCGAAGACTAAAAGCATGGTTGGAAGTGGCCATATTTGCTTAAAACCAGAGTTCAGAGTAATATCTTAACAAATAAATTTTGAATTGAATGAAATTAAATTCAATAGTTTATGATAAAAATGGGTTGCAACTTCAGCTTTTGCTTTTAAGCATTGAAAATTTTGTTTCTGGTCGAAATGCATTACATTTTTTGTACAGTCAGTAAAATATTAATGCCGCTGAAACCTGACAAAGCTCAATTAGGCATTAAAGGATTTATAGATTTGATCTCCAAATCAGAAATTGGAAATGTTTGTTAGAGAAAAACCATTTTGCGAAAGAGAAATGGGACCTCATAAAACAAATGTGCATGTTTATACATTAGATCATAATATCCTTCTTAGTCTCCGCTGCAATAAATTTTATCTATTATCACACTTTAACAACAACACCCCCACCTAGTCTAAAAACTAAAGCAAATTCATAGTCAATAAAGTTGAGGAAAGAACACATAACACCCAATAAAAACGAGTATAAGTCTGTCATGTCCCATCAAAAACCACAACTTTTATTTGTAAATAGTGGATTAGCAACGCCACCTTTCACTGTTATCTTAGTTGCAGAAGGGGAAAAAAAAATCCTGTGAAAATAAAGCTCCACATAAAGAATTTCCTAACGCCCCAAAAAAAAAAAGGAAAAAAGAAGATGCACACCAAGTTGAAAACAAGCTGCTTCTTTTACCCTCAAGAATTATGTAGTAACATACCAGCACTGATATTGGCAGGAGGATCCTTTTGAATTTCCTTGAGATACTTCAAGATCCTCTTTGCACTCGGCAATTCCTGTTTTTCATTCACACACATACACAACAACAACAACAATAATAATACCCAGATCTACCTTAAAAATATAAAGCAATTTAATAATTTTCCCCAAAAATTTAATTAAAAAAAAAAATTCAAAAAAGAAGTTCGTCAAATCAATTCCACAAGAATCTGCATACGTAGACTAAGAGTCTGAAATTTTACCGTACGGAATTTTGATTCTCTTGCCGGCTTTTGGTAGATGGGGTGATCTGAGGAGAAGGATTTTAAGCCAATAATATTTCATACATTTTGCAAGCAGGGATTATAATATAGAATTAAGAAGAAATGTATTTATTCTCTAATCCTATATTCACCTTTAATACTTGAGGAGGCTATGAAAGAACTGCTACTTGAATTCCTTCTTCCATATTCAACATTTTGTTCTTCTCTTAGCAAACTCAGGGATAGATCTTCAATATCCAATGATATGGAAATGGAACTGGAGCTTGTGCTTCTTGAATTGGCTCGGGCCACTTCCCGATCCCGCTCTAGCTGCAGTACAGCTCCTACCAACCTCCCCCAGTTGTCATAATTCCTAGACATCTCTGTTTCAGCTTTAACAACTTCAAATAAACACAATGTTCAGCTATGGATCTTGATTGCCTGTACACATGGAAAATTTATACAGGTGCAGACACAATTTTCACATTCCATACATGGAACAAGAAGAACCTTTGGTAATCTTTGGTTTATATAGTTCCCGAAAACAAAATATAAACGCTGTGGTGCAGCACACAATTTACAGTTTAGACAGACAATTTCCTAGAAACCACGCTCGCAATTTCTTGTTTGATTGTAAAAGTAAGATATTAGTGTGGAGAAATCAATATATATTCTTTGTCTTGATAACTAATAAATCAATACAAAGAAATTTTGAAGTCATTTTCAACATTTCTTTGTGTTAATCGCTTCATTTGATAAACAGTTAAAAACCATCTCAACTACAAATCAAATTTTCTTGTTTGAGCTGGTTTATATCGTTTTAAAAAAATATATCCAACAATGAATTTACAGCTTAGAAAAACATGGCTATGTTTGAGCTCCATTTTTATGTTAACAAAAAATAATAAATAATAATAATAATAATAATAATAATAATAAACATGTAAATTATTTTATTGAAAAAGTGTTTGGATGTAAACGATTTTGAAAAAAAGTAAATTTTTAGAAATTAAGGCTCAATCAGGGACTATATATCCTAATTTCTCATATATATATAAACTTCTTGTCTTAATTTTAAATAAAAAGGTTTTTTTTAAAATAACCTGTCAAAATAAGTAATTTACGTCATAACTTTCACCAATTGTATTTTGAAATAGGGGGCGAGCAAGCAAATGCGAAAGTAATTACAAAACTTGATTATTGTATTGCAATGTGGATATGACCTTAATTAATGTTGATTGGGGCGTTATGATTAGTATAATCTAGTGATATATGACCATCTTCCTTGTATTCTTTTGGATATTTCGTCCCGTTGCTTAAATCAGTCTCGTTTTTATCAGCATACTCAAATAATGTAATTTTACTAATTACATTTATCCATCATAATGTCTAGGATTATGTTCGGATGAGATCATTAACAAGTAATAATATAATTGGAAGAGTATTGTCACACGAGTAATAAATTTTTAAATGAATTCTGTTGACTCGTTACTGAACTTGAATTTAAAGTAACACAAGAAAGATTAATTATTTGTTTCTAAATTAATATACTAATTAACCAAAATATTTTTAAACTAAATATACAATGTATGTGTTGGAATTTCAAATCCACCTATTATTATCTTATTTTCAATTCTCGACTTATTTAATTTAGTGCGATTTATGGGTTCATAACAATTTATAATTCAATTATTTTAACTCTCCCTCTCTCAATCAGGAGAAGCTTAACATATTCTAAGCATGATCCGATCAAAATCCAATGATATGGATTTGGAACAGGAGCTTGTGCTTCTTGAATCGGCTCAAACTACTTCTCGATCATGCTCTCGCTACAACACAGCTCCCACCAATCTCCTCCATTTGCCATAATTCCTAGACATCTCTGTTTCGGCTTTAACAACTTCAAATAAATACAATGTTCAACTATGGATATTGTTTTGTTTTGATATGTAATAAATCCTTGACTATGATGTTAAATGTCGAAATATATTTTTAGGCCTCGATCAATAAGTGAAATAATTATCAATAACCAAGTCCAAAGGCTCAACCCTGCCCATTTATATTACCTCGTGGATGACTTTGAATATTGATCCATTTAACCTTATTATCGGTCTTACTAAAGCCTAACCTGTTATATCCCACACGTTTATATCCCACACGTTTATAGTCAAAGTCAAATAATACTACTTGTCAAAGTCAAATAAAGACTTATGTTGAACAAATAATTTAATGGAGCTTAACTTGTAATTAATAATATACAAAGGGCAATTAAAAAAAAACTGGAATTTTTGGATTTAGTTCCCTATTATTACAAATAAAGGGACTAAATGTTACATTGTCCAAAGATTGGGGACTTGGCTTATAATTAATCTATATCAATCCACTTTAAAAGTGTAAGGATTCTGATTTTTTTCTCATTTTAGAAGAAACGGACAAAAAAGAAAACAAAGTGGGGAAGGAGAGAGAAAGATAGAAGGGGGAAAAAAAGGAAAAAAGAAGGAATGGTTTGTTGGAGGAAAGAGGAGTTTACTAACTTGGATTGGATAAGACTTTTAAGGAAGACAACACTAATAGAAAGAAGGAAGTGAATAAAAGGAAACTTGTATTTCTCAACTTCAAGACTTGCACACTTTTTTTTGGCTTGTTACAAAATGGAGGACACTATCGCTTTATATATTGTTTACATTAAACTTCTAGTCCACACATTTTCTAGAGAATCCTAGACCACATATTTATATAACACTATTAGACCGCACATTGGACAAGATATTTTTCTAGAATACTCTAGATAGACTTTATAAGACCACATATTCTTCTTGACACATTATCTCATTTATCACCACATATTTTACTTAAATATTTATATGAATTTTTCTAGTAGATATTTATATACATTTTTCTAGATAATGTTTCTACAAATGCTAGACATGTTGGGCCTTTTAATTGATTGGGGGCCTATGGGCAAAGTTCTTAAGCCCATATTTTTAGTCCAAAAATCAAGTTTACTACTCAACATCCCCCTTTAAACTTGATTTTACTATTCCAACTAGAGTTCTTAACTTTTGAAACACGTCATGCTTGAGTGACTTAGTGAGAATGTCGGCGATCCACTCTTGGGAGGTTACATGTTTCAGCTACACTTCTTTATTTGCAATACTTTCTCTTATGAAGTGATATCTTGTATCAATGTGCTTGCTTCTATCGTGGAATACTAGATTCTTTGCCAATGCCAATGCTGATTTGTTATTAACATGGATTTCAGTTGGCTCTTCTTGTGATACTCAAAGCATCTTCGACAAGTTTCTAAGCCAAATCGCATGGCAGACACTTGATGTAGCTACAACATATTCAGCTTCACACATAGATAGTGCTATGATCGATTGTTTCTTTGAGCTCCAAGTGAAAGCTGTGTCGCCCAAGTAAAACACATACCAGTCGTACTCTTTCTATCATCACTGTCTCCGCCCCAATCGCTGTCACTATATCCAACTAGTTTGAATTCATTAGATGATGAATAGACGAAGTCATAATCAAACGTACTTTTGATGTAGCAAAAACTTCTCTTTGCAGCTTTCATATGGGTCATGCTAGGTGTCTCCATATAGCGACTAATGAGCCCTACTCCAAAAAGAATAGCTGGTCTTGTGCACGTCAAATATCTTAGACTTCCAATAAGACTCTTAAAAAGTGTTGGGTTTATTGTTCACCTTCATCATTCTTCGACAATTTGATTTCGCATTCGATAGGGGTGCATACAGGCTTGCAATCCTCCATATTGAATTTCTTTCGCATATCTTGCTTGTGAGATAAAGATGCAATCCTTCATTTGCTTTACTTCAATCCTAAGATAGTAGGCCATGAGACCAATATCCGTCATCTCAAATTCTTAAGCCATAACCTTCTTAAACTCAATGATCATATTTTTATTATTTCATGTGAATATATGATCATCTACAAACAAGCAAGCAAGCAAAATATCTCCTTTCTCATTTACCTTTATATAAAGGGCATACTCATGAGGGCATTTTGTGAAATTATTTTCTAAAAAGTACTTGTCAATTCTACTATTTGATGCCTTTGGAGCCTGTTTCAACCCATATAAAGCCTTTTTTAGTTTTAAGACTTTACTTTCATGTCCTTTTATCTTATAGCCAATTGGCTGCTCCACATAGATTTCTTCTTCAAGATAACCATTTAGAAAAGCCGTTTTCATGTCCTTTGAAATATCTTCCACTTATTTTGCACTACAAAAATAGATAATTAATCTTATGGTTTCTAAACGAGCAACATGAGCAAATACATCTTCTAATTCGATTCCCGACTATTGGTTGTATCTTTTAGCAACCAATCTTGCTTTATATCTCTCCACTTCCCCTTTAGCATTTTTCTTTACCTTGTACACACACTTAACTCCAATTGCTTTTTTTCCTTTGGGAAGAGTCGTCAGCTCCCACGTATCATTTTTCTCAATAGCCTTAATCTCTTCATCCATGGCATCTCTCCATCTTTTATTTTGCACTACTTCTTCATACCCTATTGGGTCACAATCAGTAAAAAGACAAAAGAGTGTGAGATCATTTTGATTTTCTGTTATCTCATATAGCTCTTGTAGGATCTGCATCTGTGGTGTCCTTTTGCTTGAGCTTTTTCCTAGTGAAGATGATGGAGAAGCATCTCCATGAGTAGGTGATAGAGATAGACTAATAATATGTTGCTGCTCTCCATTCTCTTGTTATTCTTCATCAAAGAATGGTAAGAAGTCGTAGTCTTCTTCTTGGACACTCCAATCCTAAGCTCCTTCACCATCAAACTCGATATCTCTACTTATACAATTTGTAGCCTTTAGAGCGAGAGTCATAACCGATAAAAACATACATTTCACTCCTATCAACTAGCTTGGACCATTTTTGATCTGGCACTTGAGCATATGCAATGCTCCCAAATACTCGTAGGTGAGAGATACTGGGCTTTCTTCCACTCCATGCTTCTTGTGGTGTCTTATTCCACACACTTCTAGATGGCGATCGATTAGACAGATACACGACACAATTAACAATCTCTTACTTTTAAGCATACAGAGGGCCATATTAAGAATGGATCTGTTCTTTCTTTCAGCGATATCATTTTGTTGTGGAGAGTATGGAACCATCAATGGGCGATGAGTTCTATTCTCCTCACAATATTTCTCAAACTTTTTGGAGGTGAACTCTCCTCTTCTATTCGATCTCAAGGCTTTTATACTATATCCGCTTTCTTTTTCAACAAGAGTTTTAAACCTCTTAAAAGTTTCAACAACTTCCAATTTTTATTTGAGAAAATAGACCCGAGTGTTTCTACTAAAATCATCAATAACAAGAACAAAGTAATTGCTCTTACTGAGAGAGTTTGGATTAATTGGCCCACAAACATCGGACTGTACAAGTTCTAGCGGCTTCTTAGTTCTAGTAGAAGCTTCTTTTGGAAAACTTTTTCTCGAATACTTTCCATGTAAGCATCCTTCACATAATTGATCCGCATGATTTATTGAAGGCAAGCCTTTCACCATCTTCTTCTTACTCAACAACTTCAAGCCTCCAAAATTAAGATGCCCAAATCTCAAGTGCCAAAGCCAAGATGAATCTTTAAAACAAGGTTTTAAGCATTTGGCAACATCATGTTGAATGCTTAACGCAAACATTCTATTTTTTGTAATAGGGACTTTGACAATTAAATTTTCCCTTTGATCTCTTATTGAAAGACTATGATCTTTTAAATGAATATCATAGCCCTTCTCTAAGAGTTGTCTCAAACTTAAAATGTTATTGTTCATATTGGGTACATAATAGACATTTGAGATAAATTGATGCGTACCATTTTTCAAGCGGATCAAGATTTTACCTTTTCCTTTCATTGGGATCTTGGATTCATTTTCAAATGTAATGTTTTCGCTTACTGATTTATCAAGCTCCACAAACATGTTTTTTCTTCCACACATATGGTTGTTTGCTCCCGTATCCAAATTCCAAGTGTTCTTTTCTCTGCTCTCTTCACCCTTGTAAGCCAACAGTAATGCAGGATCCACTTCACTTTCCCGACAAGCTTAGTTGGCTTTTTCCTCAACTTGGTTAGTAATATTTCTACATTCTGAAGCATAATGATAAAGTTTTTGACAATTGCAACATTTAATTTGAGATTTGTCAGACCTTGGCCCTTCATTTTGCCTCGTACCTTTTCCTCTTCCACGACCTCTGGTGGAAAATAAGCTTTGTCTTCTTTCCTCCTTGTAGAATGCACTTCTTCCTCTATCTTGGCCTCATCCTCTTTCTCTTTGGCTTTGTTTACTGTCGAACCTTCCTTCAACCTCGTTCAAAGTGAGCATTGCTTGAAGAGCTTTCTCTAATGACTCTTCTTTAACCTTCTTATTTAGTCTTTTCTCATGGGCTTGTAAAGATCTCATGAGTTGATTGACACTCATACTATCTAAATCTTTAGATTCCTCAATTGCTACAACTATGTAGTCAAATTGAGAATCTAAAGACCTAGGTATCTTCTCAATTTTTCAACTTTTTTCCATTCCTCTTTAATTGATTCACAATAGCCAATACTCTAGAAAAGTAATCAGAAATTGATTCCGATTCTTTCATATTTAAGGCTTCAAACTCACCTCGAAGTGTTTGGAGTCGAACCTTTTTCACCTTCTCATCTCCTTTGTGGGAGTTTTGCAAGATCTCCTATGCTTCCTTACTTGTAGTAGCACAAGCTACTTTCTCGAACATACATTCATCTAAGGCTTGATAGATAAGGGTGAGCGCCTTCTTATCCTTCTTCCTTGCATCCTTCAAACTATCCCTTTGTGCTTGGGATAGAGTGACCTTGTCTTGTGGCTCTATGTAGCCTTTCTCTATGATCTCTCATGCATCTTGCGACCCGAGCAACGCTTTCATCCTTATGCTCCAATTGTTGTAGTTATCCTTGTTGAGTTTGGAAACTTGAAAAGGATTCATCCCACTTGCCATTTTTTACAAGAGCCTTAGGGCTCTGATACCAATTTCTCGGACGAAAGAGGAGTTTACTAACTTGGATTGGCTAAGGCTTTTAAGGAGGACAACACTAATAGGAAGAAGGAAGTGAACAAAAGGAAACTTGTATTTCTTAATTTCAAGATTTACACACTTTTTTTGGCTTGTTACAAAATGGAGGACACTACCCCTTTATATAGTGTATACATGAAGCTTCTAGTCCACACATTTTCTAGAGAATCCTAGACCACATATTTACATAAGGCTTTTAGACCGCACATTGGACAAGATATTTTCCTAAAATACTCTAAATAGAATTTATAAGACCATATATTCTTCTTGACACATTGCCACATTTATCACCACATATTTTACTTAGATATTTACATGAATTTTTCCAGTAGATATTTATATAGATTTTTCTAGATTATGTTTCTAGAAATGCTAGACTTGTTGGGCCTTTTAATTGATTTGGGGCCTATGGGCAAAGTCCTTAAGCCCATATTTTTAGTCTAAAAATCAAGTTTACTACTCAACATAGTTGTCGATTTTTATTTTTTTTTTGGCTTGGGATTTTCATTTCTCAAGTTTTATTATTTTCAAGAGGTAACTAATATTTTTGTCGCTTGAATTTATAAATATTCTAGGATATCAAGAGGTAAGTGAAAGATTTATAACTATCAACGCTATAGGCATAGCAGAAGGATGAAGAAATTCCATTCCATCAAGCACTCCTACAATACCAGCAAATCCTTACACAAGAGGCCGTAGTCCACAAAGAATTCTATTTCATGCAAGGGAATAATCGTAGAAAATATTGAAATAAGGTAGTATAGATTGCAATCGCCTAAATAGTGCCCACCGGAGGGATGGAGGGGTGTTCAATGAAGCTAAAGTTTGAGGCATAACTGCGTCGAATTTAACTTTTAAGTAACCTACACAATGAAAAGCTAAAGAAAAAATATAGTTTCTTCAAGAGTTCTATACTGTGTTGATAGAATTCACTCTTTTCGATTGATCATCTTTAATTTTCTTAGCCTTTTGAATTGGATTCACTTTGACTGTAACGAGCCTTCTAGCCTAGACTCAAGTCCATGTGCTTTCATTTAAGGAAATAAATAAAAAAGATCCAAGCCAGATCTAAGCGTTGGCTAGGTAAACGTCCTATAGTAATAGGAGTAGTTATGAACCCGGAACAAAGTATGTCATATTTCTCATCATTATGTGCTCTTTTAAAATGTTATAGGCTTGGCCAAGATAGGTATCTGCACACCTAAGAGTTCATGGATATTGTGGCAGACGAACTCAACGATAACTTTCTAGTTAAGTTAATTACCTGAATCATCATTAAATTTTGTGTAAAATTTCCACTGGGTTACCAACTTTAAAATTACCACATTAATCATTGAATTTGCAATTCATTATACCATCCCTCATTTAGTTTTTAAATTGCTAACGATGTGGACGTTGAGTGAAAAATAAATTGCCATGTATGCAATTTCGTTAGCCATGTTAGCAAATCCATTAATATTTTTATTTTTCATTGAATGAGTGATGGATGTGATAGTGAATTACAAAGTTCAGTGATTAACGGTATAATTTTTGAAGGTCGGTGATCCAGTGGAAGCTTTGCTCAAATTTAATGATGATTTAAGTAATTAACCAATTTTTAATGAATGAACTAACAAATATAGATACTGGGTGACTTCTACAACATTTGGAGATTTAATAGGGTTTTCCTCTATAATGAAAGATTATGAGGTATTTTCAAAAATGGCAAACTTTAGGAAGTATTGCCCTAATTACCCAATATTTAAAATAAAAAGTGATAATTGAGAATTTCTTTAAAAAGTTAAACTAGAGATAAATGGTGATGGGG